TAGTAAAACCAATCGACAGCTGGTCAAGAGGTATCGGCCGTCGTCTTCTGGTGGAACCGAGCTTCGAAGCTCTTCATCCAACTCTTTCCCTCGAAATGGAAGTAAGCTCAACAATTATGAAACAAGCGACTGCTCGAAAACCAACTTTTTTTCGTATATGAAATTCTTATGCAACATATACTGATAGTCGCGAAACACACTTCCACACAAGGTATAAAATACACAGCTGCCTGGCAAGAGATGAGATTCAAGAGAATGTGTGTGTGTTTTTACGCCTAATCCATGTATTGTGAATGTGCGGAGGGCCTGAGGCGAGACTAGCGATTGAGTTGGGATTGCCAAAATGGTCGGGATTCGAATTGGAGGTATGGTTATAGCATATATGTGAAAAGGGGAAAACAGTAGACATCACACCTTGATGGTCGGGAAGAGACGTAACTTTTGCTTATTTTTCGTATTAAGTATTGTTGTCGTGACTACCAGTAAATCAGTAATATGACATGTATCCACCCAATTTTGTTTAAGGTGATGAAGGACTGGTAGAAGAGGAATGTTTCCACAATGGTGTGAGTAGAGCTGACGTTCACATTCAATTTCACATAGCCTTGCTTTCCCAAAAGTTCAAGCTCACATGCTGCACTGTCACGGTTCGACTCCCGTTGCGGGTGTAGATAAGACCTGGAAGAGATCGAAACTGCAGTCCACTTCTGCCCGGATGAAAACGCCTTTTGGGAAAGCAAGGCTATGTGAAATTGAATGGAAACGTCAGCTCTACTCACATCATTTTGGGAAAATTATTCTTTCACCAGTCCTTCATCACCTTAAACGAAATTGGGTGAATACATCTCATAATACTTTTGCTGTCCTAAATACTTTGATCCATCTCTGCTGGTTTCGTGCACATGCGAACACATACAGACATATACACATACACAGACAGACACACTCACATGCTTTGAGGTTGACATTTGACTGGAACCAACCAAATCACTTTATCCCCGATCAAAGAGGCCAGATATAGAGTGTATATATACCGCTTTTTATGGATTTGCTGACGAGTTTTCTTGACTCATTAGCTTGAATTTTGTTGTGACGATAATGCTTGGTTTCGAGACCACCAGCAAATCAGAGTTGGCTGTATCATATCAAGCAGTTGGTAAAAGGTGAAAATCTAGACATTTAACGGCTCTCTTTGGCTGCTGCTGGGCCAAAATGACGCACAAATGGTCTCTGTTGAGGGAAAAAATGAACTTTTTTCACTCTTCTAGAAGCGAGTTTGCTGTCTGATCCGTCCTTGATGACTGGCCCAGGTCCGGATCCCTCAGTTCGCCAAGGCCCATCCCAGCCGGATGCAAGCAATGCCCGTCTGGCATGTGAACATGGCCAAGTCGAGCAATGCACTCATGCACAACACGCAATGTCATGCGATGTGGTGTGCTCGAACGCCTTCGAAACCGTGCATGCATTCCGGCATCCCCGACAATAGCTGGGCTCATCTGCCCGTCCAGCTTCAATATTAGTCGTTTGGGCGAGAAAATCGAGTCAACCGGTCGGCATAGCTTCAGGGCACGAGGCGCTGTGTTGCTATGTTATCATTTTGACTGGGCGAAATCTGTACTTACATCTCGTAGTTGGAGGATTTAATGAAATTTTTCGAACTCATCGCCAAGTAACCTGCTCCCCAGGGAAATGGGACTAATGCGTGTGCACTGTTGGCATTCACCGACGAAGAAGGAGATGCTTAAGAATTTGCATAAAGATAATAATTACCTGTTTATGCCTAGCCTCGACTGCTATAACAACCATAAACCTTTTCCTCTCCCGGTCAACTTTCCGGCCGGCTATCCCTTCACGGTGTAGCCGATTTGACTGGGCCATGTGTGCTCAGCGGGGCGGACGAGTGTCTACTCAAAAAGCCCACTCACACTCCACATTGTCTCCTTTCCTCTGGCCAACCGGTAAATGCCAAATGATCACTTTTATTCTCTCGTCCGGCCAAGTGTAATCTCGAAGAGGTTGCCAGTGCACAAAGTGGCCACGATAGCGACTAGGAGGGGCAGACAAAATGGCAAAATGTGGACATTTCACCTCCTACAAAATTCGACTATCCATGCCGATTGCGTGAGGATTACACATTCCAGGGCGGCATCATTTGAAGGGTGGTGCAGTTGAGGTGAAACACAGGCAAGTGTGGCCAGAAAGTCTTGCAGTCAACCTGTCTCTTGGTCTTGCCCCCGACGAATGACCACTTCTGGACCTACAAGACAGATAAGTCTGAAAACGAGAAATGTCACCAACTCTCTCTCTCTCAAATATCTGCACTACATCTTGTCCTATTTCCGGCTTGATCATGCTCTTTTACATAGTTTGTTAGTTGCAAAGCCCAATAGAGAGCAACATATATTCGTATCATCAGCAGCAGCAGTATTATCATATCCGATTAGAAAGTATACTATTCCAGTGCAGGCTTAAACTGTTGTCTGCAATAGGCCGGGCATCGGACTACAACGACTATTTCCATACATTGACGGTGCGTTGCCGACTAGAAATGACGCGTACAATTTGCTATATTCCC